AAAAAAATTTTTTTTTTCATGCCGTTAATATCTCCATGAAAAAGTTCCTGCAGCCACTATCAGATCAAGAATCAAAGTTGCAATCTCCAACTCATCAGGAAGTTGCTCACAACTTATCAGGAGATCCACTAATGGAAGTAAGAGTGTGAGAGGGAGAGACTGCCTAGGTCCATGATGGCGAATTTATGGCACGTGTGCCAGAGGTAGCATGCAGAGCCCTCTCTGTGGGCATGCGTGCCATTTCCAGCTGCTCTTCTTGTTTCCAGAGTGCACAAGTGCATTGGCCAGCTGGTGTTTATGGGTACCAGAGTCCCGGAAAATGGCCTGAAAATTGGCCAAAAGAAAGTTGTTTTTCAGACCAAAAACAGCCTGAAAAACAGCCTGAAAACGGCTCCAAAAACCAGTCATGTGCGCGCCAGCCAGCTGGTCTTTGGGTTTCTGGTGCTCCGGTGTGCACCTCTGCTCCACAAGTCACATTGGTTGCCTGTTTGGTTTTGGGTCCAATTCAAAGTGCCGGTTTTAATCTTCTTGGCATGGGGCTACAAGCAGAGGCCAAGCACGCTCCATTTGCATGAGCGGCAGGTGCACATATATGCTGCTTGTGCAAATGAAACTGTATGCATGTGTATGCCACCCGCTCACACAGAACCATCCCGTCTCCCCTCCTCTCGCTGGTCCGCAAAATTGGAAAGGTTGGAGAACTCTGCTCTACACTGTCTGAGGGACTGCCCCTCCTCAGGTACATCAGCCTGCCTTATTAGATCCGGTAATAAAGATATGTTGTGAGTACCATTAACTAGGGACCTACATTTTTTAAGTTCTAGGAAATGTGCCTTTTCTGTTGTGGCAGCCACCTTATGGAACACCCCCCCCCCCCGATTAAATTAGCTCCATCCTTTTGTCATTCTGAAGCCCCTTAAGAACAGGTTAAGTTGTCATACCTCCCTAAGAACTGGAGACTTGCTTAGATGGCTCTATTGCTGAGGTAGTTATTTTTATCCTCTTTTTGTCTAGAACTTGCATATTTATAATATGAAATTTATTTTTTAATGTGGGTTTTATATTTTTATATGTGTTATTTTTATATTTGATGTTTTATTTGTTTGTTGTATGGACCACTTTATTTATATGGGCAGCCATACATATTTGATTGATTGATTGATAAGACAGACAGACAGGCAGATTTTTTTTTTACAAACTGGAACTACTTTCTCTCGTAGATTCTGAGCAAGTACATTTTGTTAGCTTTAAGAAACCTTCCCTGTAGCCATAGTCCCCTCCCTTGCGCTATGACAATATCTATCCCTCTGATTACATTTTCAGACAAGATCACCAATATCTGTGCTCTTTGGACTTTTCATATATGCTGTTTGGGACGGACTTTCATTTTTTAAGAGAAGCGTATAAGTTACTATGATAAAAACAAGAATAACTTCTTGGTTCCTATGTTTTTCAAAAGTTATTATTTAAGTTACTGATTGAACATGGTTTTCTTTTCTTTTCAAATAGAGCAGAGACTGCCTGAAGCTTGGCCCACCTGCAGAGGGAGAAGTTGTTCAAGTAAAATGGCCAGATGGAAAACTTTATGGTGCAAAATATTTTGGAACCAATGTAGCATATATGTACAATGTAAGTTTCATTTATTATTCCAAGATACTCATTATATATTTAGGATTATGTTGACAGTTGCTTACAGTGGTAGGAAAGGTAGTCTTTCATGGAGAAAATATTCATCAATAAGTCATAGAAATTTATTCTAATATTTAGATATTCTGCCCAAAATTCTAAAGGAGATTCAGAGGAATTTTGTCTAACTCCTATCCATTTCTGTTAAATTTTCATCACTTTGTCCATGTGTCAGTGTTGGAATTCAGCTGTAAAACCAACACACAGTGTATAACATACACTGTTACTAGTATAATTATATGTTTATATTTATGTAATAGCAATCTTAATACAGCCAGTAACTTAGTGTTAAACATCCAAGAAAGATTTATTTACACATCTATGCAACTCCATAAGTAATTTTTTAAAACATGTAGATTCTAGATACTATAGGATTAAAAAGAATATATTTAACAAACTTTAATCACTTTTGAAAACATGGCTGCCGTGACTTTCAGAAAGATAGAGAGTTGAATTTTGTAGGAAAAATATAAGCCCAAACATTAGCTCATTATCATTTTTCTAACACAGTCTTTTGGCATGTGTGAGCTTATGACAGTGACTAAATTTCTGTGTACTAATCAAATATTTTGCAGAAATTCCAATTAAACCACTAATTAATTATGTTCTAATATAAGAAAAACAAATAGAGAGAGCTAAATAGCAAATGTAACTGACACCATATTGTGGTAGTGGTTTTATGTTATTATGTGTGTATCTCTCTTGAGGCTGATATCAATTAATATGGACAGTGATTGACAAACTTGGTGGTTTACAGTTGCAAATAAATCCTAATTCAGATTTGGACTCATTGGGAATATATTAACATTCTCTATATTAAATCCTGCTGAATAACTGTTGCTTGTTATTAGACCTCAACAATTGGGAGTTATTTTCCAATTTATTTTTAAGTAACAGTAGTGGCACATGTATGACTCAATCCTTAATGGAAGATTAAAAAAGTACAGTACAAAAATGTACTGTAGTTGCTTCTGTTTCATCCACTATGACTAATGTTACGTTTTCAAAACTGAGTTGTTTACTAAGAATTTCTAATTATTCTGAAATAACTGCAGAAAATCTCAGGCCCATTTAATAATTTTCTATGAAATCAGAGAGAATATAATGAATTACATTGTGGCTTACCAGAGACCCAGTTTGGTTAACCCATAAGGCTAGAAAGTTGGAGACTCTTATAACTGGGTGGCCTTGGGCCAATCACTTTCACTCAGCCCTGGAAAGAAGGTAATGGCAAAACAATTCAGATTTGTTTGCGTAGAAAAGTGCATTGATTAGTCAAGAAGGTCGACAGGAGTCTTGTGTATACAAACATACAAAAACTAGCTTACCAGAGGATAGCTAGAATAGTATATTGAGCTTTAGCTAAGGAGAACCAGGTTAATCTTACTTGCCTAGAAAATTTACTTTATGCTATTTTTTTCTCCACTTGCCATATTTCATCAGGTTGATGTATGGATGAAAGACCTCTATGTGTACTGTATTGCATATAAGATGAGACAAAATGCAACACTAAACAATAAAAAAATTAAGTCGGCTGCTAACATTACATTGAGGTTAGGAGCGGAGCTAGTCAATATAATTTGAATCATTCTTCTCATATATCCTTTAGATAAATTTGAATAGGATTTACATTTTCCTGTAGAAGTTTTTTGTGTGAATTTTTTAAAATAAAATTTAATTAATTTAATAGGATCATTGAACTTTTAAAAATTAATTTGGCTAGTAATACAAAATAATTGTAGATGTACAAATTCCCATGTCTGTCCATTAAAAAGTGGAATCAAATAATTTAGAACTTTTAGAAGGTACAACTAATGCAGCAGCAGCAGCAAAGCAATTTAGCATTCCCTACACCTAGCTACATTCCCTTTTTCATTTTCTGCTAAAGAGGTTCATACTGGATTAGATCTAAACCTAAGCATGATAAAGCTTTTCATCTTCTCAACAGACTATTTTAAAGATGTTCCATCAGATTCTGTTAACGGGCATTTCCTTTAGTGTCACTCATACCTTCTTCCTTTTGACATAAGTCTTCCACAACCTTGAAAACAGAAAGATTAATGCTTATCACTTGGAAAATTGGAGGAAAATGCATCAAGCTGTTTTAATATGCTGCATAACTGTTTGTGGGCTTTGGCATTTGTGATGGAAAACTTCCATGTACAGCCAGCAAATATATGTTTTCTTATGCAGTCAACTGCTAGCTCCACTGCTCAGGATTTAAAGATGTTGTGCTAAGAAAATTTTACACTACCAGTCATGACTTCTACATTTAGGTCAAATGCTTTTTTGGAACAGAGATCCAAGCCCTTGGGTCAGATATTATGTGGTGAAGAGAAGTTCTCTTTTACATGTTTTCTGGCCACTACTTCTGCTTCTACTAAGGAGGTCTGACAGACTAGATATTTCCTTGTGTGTTTTGCTCTTAGCCCAACTTCTAGTTATCCACTGATTCAACTTTGTATATTATTCTTGCTGTAAACCTGAATAGACATGCCAACTTGGACCTATTCATTCATTCTGGCTAAACCATACTCAATGCACTTGGAAAGTGTCCCAGAATTACATTCTTTCTTAGAAGCACAAGAGATTCTTACTCTAGGCTTGAGAATTTTCATAAAATGGAGGAACTGAAATTCTGATCCTTTTAATAAGCTTAGAGAAAAGTCCTATAGTGACAATCTTCGATAAAACAATTCACTGAAACTTTCCCTTTTAATAGTTATTTGTTTCAGAGATGTTCCCAGTTTTTGGCGCACACTTCTTGCTTGGCTTTGGCAATCTAAAGTTCCTCCCAACTTTTAGAGATGTCTGTATTTTTTATTCATAAACTAAAAAAGCACAAACAAGCAGGACAAGTCTAATCAAACTTTCCATTGAAAAGTTTTATAAAGTCATTGCTCATATGCTGTCTAGCATTTTTACCTCATTTGTTGGGGCACAATAATTATACAGTTGGTCTAGTGTACTCAAGGCTGCCTTCCTTACTCTTTACATCTACCTACTGATGATACTGAACTCTAAACTAGCAGATAACTTCACCCAGCAGTTTCATGTAGATGCTAAAATAAAGCAGAACTTGAGGCATCCCTCGAGTGAGAAGCCATGGGCATTACCTTTCCTCATCTGTCAATACCGACAGGAACTGACCGCTGAGGAAGGAGATGAGCCACTGCATCACAGTGTTTCTTACCCACAGCTGATCCAGAAGATAAGCTTTTGTCAGTAACAAAAGCTGTTGAGAGATCAAGAGCATGAGGATAGATGCCCCACCTCCATCCTGACTCTGCCACAGGTCAGGCCCAGTGTAATCAGTGCTGAATCTCTACTATTACCCTGGCTTGAAACTAAACCCTACCCAGATAATCCGTTTTGTCCAAGATTTTCAGCAACTAATATCCAACCACACGCTCAACAACTTTCTCCACAGTGGTGGGTTGGAGATAAGATGATAATTGCCCAGGAGATAGGGGTCCAGTGATGGCCTTTCCAAATGGGGACCTGCAGGAGACTTTTCCTTCCCTTTCTATCACTTTCAATTCTTGTTATTGTGGCATTTGTGTTGCCCCCAAAAGTGAAAAGATGTGCCCAGATAATGAAATAAATCTTTTAGATGTGACTTACAAAATCATTCAGCATTTTGGCACAATTTAGAAATAACAAAATATGTTATCACTTTTTCTTAACTGCTTATTGCACTTTTAAAAAAGCCTTTAATTTTAATGCCTTGACCTTTCCTTTATAGTATTTCTTTACGCAATTGTTTAACTCCAGGGGATTTTATCCCTGCATACAAACAGCTGAAATATTTAGTTAGCTATGCTGCCAGGTGAAAATAACAGTTAATAATTATTTCATTAATTCATTTTACCATCAGGTAGAATTTGAAGATGGCTCCCAGATAGCAACAAAAAGAGAAGAACTTTACACTCTTGATGAAGAATTACCCAAAAGAGTGAGAGCCCGCTTTGTAAGTATTGGCAAGGAAAGTGTTAGAACCACAAATCTGGACAAAATTTCTCAAAATTTGCCATATTGCTTATTTACACTATAAAATTATGTGCCTCAAAATTCCTGAGGTCTTGTACGAATATATGGTTTAGTTTCCTTTGACCATGTAAGCATTTAATGTTTAGCATCCTACTGATATTTACTATATCTATCTATCTATCTATCTATCTATCTATCTATCTATCTATCTATCTATCTATCTATCTATCTA